AATCCCAGCGGTCAGGAAAGTGCAGCCCTAGGGAGCCCAGGCCACCCGCTGGGCAGTGAAGCAGCCTGGGCTGGGTGTCCATGTGGGTTCTGTCTGCCAGAGGCTGGGTTTCTGGAGTCCTTCCTCCCAGCTTCTGGACAACTCCACCTGCAGCTCAGCTAGGTTTTGTTCATTTGTGGTTAAAAGCAGTGAGTGTACTTCTATCCTCCCCCACAGCACATACAGCTCCTTCTGTCCCTCCTCCTACACACTCTACTCCTGTTCTCAGTCTGTTTCCTCCTGAACAGCCTATACTCTATTAGGCTTCAATTAACATAAAACATGCACAGAAGAATATATATATATTCATATATATAGTTTATCATATATAAAGTTTAATAATGATTGAGTAATCTGAGCTATTATTTTAATCCTTTTTCTTCCCTTCTGTGGTCAGTGAACTCCCTTTTTGGAGAGATGAAAGTGGGAAATCAACAGTATAATGCTCCTTGTTATTCTACCTTCCTCTTAACACCAAAATTAGAGAAGTACAATAAGCTGTTCTCGCATTAAAAGCGACAAATGGCATTATGAAAGGGCCCTATTCATTAACACAAGTGAATTATCTATAGTATCAACAGACCCAATTCCTTAGGTTCAGAACTCCCAATTAAGTGTGACTAGTCACCTCAAAACATGTATATGTGTGTGTGATATAAATGAGTACATCATTTCAGACTGAATGCTGAAAACGGTAGATATTATTGTGAAACTTAAGCCCTTTTTCTTCTCAGACTACAAGTAAAGGCCACAGTCTGGATTAGGTTTGTGCTCCCATGTATACTATTGGATGCCAATCCTGCTTCAGAAGCTTTCTCTCAAAAATACAGATATTCTTTGAAAACAGTATTTTAAAGCCCTTTATTTGATGTGTAGACCCTATTCTCTGTACAGGTTTCCTGAGATCCTGCCACTTAGAACATTCAGATTAAAAACTTCTAAAGGCAGCCTGAAAAGAAAGAGGATCCAGATTCCCAGAAAAATAGACAATATCCGCTGCTGTGGACTAAGTAAAAACTTAGGATTCTTGTAGTCCACTCAAAAGGAAGGGAACTGCATGGCTTATATTATTTAACTGAACATACTCCTAGTCCTTCTTATAGTCACTGTGTGTAACCATGAAAAACCTCATCCTCACTCTCCAAAACGATAAATGAAAATAATAAATGAAAAGTATAACTTCTACAGCAAAGGTGTTTAAAAACCTGAGCACTTAAAGAGTCTGTGTTTCAGCAGTACCACACAGAAGCAAAGTCCAAAGGTAAAACTCATTAACCTATGCTACTCTGGGTCACCAGGACAAAGGGAAAGACGAGCCACCGACTCTTTAGTCTCCCAGCCAATTATTTGCTCACACTATATCTCGAACCAAGTTCCTGCATATATTAAAATTAAGGAAATGAATTCAAACTCATGCTTTATGCAAAAGACCTCCAGCCTTTTAGAGCTGATACAAGTACATGTGACACTTGAAAACAATATGTCAGGTTTCTTTGTAAGTCGTCAGCATTACAGCTGCTTTCAGAAGCAATAGTCCATTTTCATGTGCTAACCTGGAGCCTAATAAGAGCACTAGTACTCCACCTAGCACTGAACTTGTGATGCCTGAAGCTCTTTCAAGAGCTCTTTTTCTCACTTTGGATCTTCCTGCCACACCCAAAGAGGCATGTAACAACCTGAGGAAACAACCACACCTTTCAGAGTCTCAAACTGCTGAAGAGACAGCAACTGAGCCAGAGGAGCAGTCCAGGAAACTGTGTTCACCACAGTGCTCAAGAAGGCAGGGCAGGAGTAATCCATTCCCAAGTGTCCTTGAAGGTGCTGAGACTGACAGGCAAGGAGCCAACGGGCTTCTCTTTTCTTCCATCTCCTCTATAACTCAATTTTCAACCGCAGCCCCAAGCCAACACCAACACTTCCTAACACATCACAAATATTGCCACAAGTGGTATGGAACACACCACCTCATGCATGGTGCACATGCACACAAGCCACATAGTCTCGCAAGGCAAAATAAATCTACAGAGTGCAAAGAAATAATTCAGCATTTCAAAGTAGGTGTTTCTCTAAGCATTTTCTTGATACAATAGAAGATTCACCCTTAATTGATATGTAAGCAGCTTAGGTGCATGTGACCAAGCACCATAGGCATCTAATTTTTGTCAGTATTATGCATCCAGGCAGCCGCAAATCTTAACTGGCATATCCAGAGCAAACCTCGGTCTTGACAAGTTTAGAGAAACTAGCACATTCTCAGATGGCAGACAGGGTTCAATACAAGCACAGCTGCCATTTTAAGAAGCAAGGTTTCTCCTTTTACAAAATGTCAACAACTTGAGCAAAAAGTCAGCTGATTCATCTTCGCTCTCAGTGGTTCAAACTTGCATCCCATCACCCAGAGGAGTCCTGGAAGAGCCAAACCTGCAGATGAACGCTGAAAGCCCCTGCAATGCAGCCCTACCACACAACCATCAGGCTGCTGGAAGGTAGAAAGGCTGTGTACAAACCACTCAGGTGCTTGTTCTTCCACACTGTACGCACGCGTGCCAGCCACTGACCAAAGCCAAAGCAATTTGACCTTCTCCTGCCACAGTTCATCCTTGGTTTTCAGAAGGGAAGGTTTACACACTTAGGCTGCAAGACTGTGAATCTCAAGTGAAACTCCTTTCAGCACAGAATGAAGTGCTAAGAACATGCTCCTCTCTGCGACTTCGTTTATGCCTACCACGGCAGCACTTTTTACAAACTACTTTAAGAAGCTCCCTTCTCAGCAAGCTGGTCTTCAAAGATACTGTTCCAAAATCCTCCTCCTCATCTAACACTGTAAACAAACCCTGGCACACAGCACAGGGTGAGCTAGGTAGGAAGGCCCCTACAAGTCAGTTACTTTCAAACAAGACATGGCAGGGCCATGTCTTCAGGTTCATTTACTGAAGTACTCGGTTAAGCTCTGTGAATCCAAGGAGCATAATAAAGGCCACAGGAACTCCAGGGAAGAGAGACTGTATGGGATCATTACAGGAAGCAATTACAACCCCATGTACAGTAGACTGTAAATATCAACAAAAACTAGCAACAGCTTGTTTTGATCCTTAACAATGTTGACAGCACAAATATAGATAATATTCCCTGTGGCACAGAACAGCCTTCAGAAGCTCCCTGCTTGTTCAATACCTGTGAACCTCACCACCAGGTCACATGACATAAGAGAACAGATGTATAATATACACGTGTGGTATGCAAGTACAGACAAAAAGTGAGCAACTCTTGTTTTCAAAACAGAGCATAAAATGGATGTTAAAGTGAATGATATTAAAGGCCAGGTTACAGACAGAGCACCTGGAATTTCAAAGCCCATCACCTAGTTTGAACTTAATTCTCACATTCTCATGATGGTATCACATGGCAACCAAGCTTATCTGTTCCCCATTTAAAAGGTAGTAACGACAGGCTTTATTCTTCAGAATTCTATCTACCTGAAAAAAATCAGGTTACAAAAGCTCAGTCTAATGAGTACCACTTTTTCCGTAACTCTGGGAAACCACTAGAGAGTACACTAGAACAGAATTTGGACAGATGGCTTTATTTTGTTGGATGAGAAAAGTTGAGAAGCGGTTAAACATCCTACTTTGAGCAGGGTCTAAATGTTTCACTGTGCTCCCTCCAGGCTGAAGGACAACATTTGTTTGAGGTAGCAGTTGCGCTACCAGAATGGGTAACAAAAGTTCATGCTTTGAAGTGCTGAGAAGCCTCCTGCTTCAGAATTGAGTCTGGTTCCATGGCAACAAATAGAGAGAGGTCCACAAAAGCTTCAGCACCTCAAACATGACTGATGACTGGAGTTCTGCTGCACAGCGCTCTAATCTAAGAATAAAAATCAATGAAGACTTCAGCAAGTTTAGTAGATCTAATGAAACCGCTTCTTTTAAGCTTTGCAAAGAAGGCAGTCTTTCAAAGAATGATGTTTGCCAATTCTTTAAGCATTTTATCACCCTATTCATCTCATGCAAAAAAAAAAGTTTACATGAGGAAAAAGAGATTAGCCAAAGCAATCACATGTCCAAAACCGGTTAGATAGCCAACTTTGCTTGATGTCTAAAGTTTATTTCTAGAACCGTTTCTTCAAAATGTGTCATATTTCAGATGACATATCCTAAAAATAAGGATAATAGGAAGGACTTAAATAAATAAAACACCAACAAACAACCCAAACCCCAAAAAGTAGTCTAGTCCTTTTCCTCATTCACCACTTCCACTGGGTAGCTGCATTTAGAACACCTTATCGTTCATACAAGAACCACATTTAGAAGATGTTATGTAACTGCTTTGAGTGGCCAATGCTTTCATTTCAACAACTGAGTCACCAAACATCAGATGCTCTCATTCCATACAAAAATGGAGGAAAAAAGGTATTAACAAAACTACAACTGAGACTTGGAAAAAACATAGTAGTCATGCAAGTGCTTGGCAAGTATTTGTATTTTAAGCTTCATATACTTACATTGATCAATAAAATACTCCATCAATACTAAATCACTTATGACTCCTTAGACGTCAAAGCTCTTCAATACAGGTATGGATCCTAACTATACTTACCTCTTCATGGGACATGAGATTAAGGCCAAAATCACAAAAGGCATCACTGGAGAAGCCAAGAAGAAAACCCTTGTTCAGAGAAAAAAAACCTTGTTCAGAACTCCTTTTGTTGTAACGTAGAGGAATTTCTTAAGAAGATTTAAGATGCTTCCATATATCATAAACATAACAGAGGAGAGGATTCCAAGCCTTAGTCCCTAGCAATATTTGCCAACTTAGTACAGAAAAAAAAAATGTTAACACCAATTCAAATTAAAATAGCAAGCTATTACTTCTTTCAAAGTAAAGCATAACACAATACCTTTCTCCTATGATCCTACTTAATCTCACTGTTAAAATACAAATATATTTTACAGAAACATTACCTGGCAAAGAAGTTTGTAAAAGGTCCCAATATTTTTCGTTTACTGTCCACATCTGTCTCTAGACAACACTCCTGCTGGCTGTGATCATTAGTTTCTTTAGTGGAATTCAGGGTAACATCCGAGAAGTGCACCTCATCGGTCTCAAGATTCACAATTGCACTTGAACTGCTTGTGACCACAAAGTCCAAAATGTCTTCATTGCTAACTGATAAAGTTGTTGACAGTTCTGTGCTAAGACTAGAAACACTACAGACAGAGATATCATCACTTCGATTCAGAGTTTTTGAAGTTGGACTATAAAGTTTGACAGTGTCATACCCAGTTCTTGGGAAAGTAGAGGATTTTCGCACAGCATGGTCATGTTCAGAAGTCAGAGGATGTGGAGGCACATAAGATGGCAGCGTGCATGCGCTCTGAAAAGCCCTGTCAGGCACAATTTCAGGTTCTGACTGCTTTCTCTTCACATTTAACACACTGCAGTGAACAGGCTCTGGATTTCCTATTTCTAGAGTTGGAATACCAGAATCCACTGATTTAAGGCTATGACAATCTTCTAAAGCACTGGACAGCTGGCCACGCCCATACTCAGGCAATGAGAGAGATCTCGGGGTCCCAGAGTTCAAGTTTTGAAGGCCCTGGATACTGCTGCCCACTCTTGCGTCCAAAATTCCCATGAAGCTCAAACCATTTAAGGAGTTGGATAAATTTACATCCGTGGTCTTGGCCCAACTGGTAACTGGTTTGAAAGAAAGAAAAGACAAGATTATGAGTTTGCAGGAAAGTTGGGATGGGTTTTTTTTTTTTTAAATACACTCAGTCCTGTCATAATTTCAGCTTTTAATTAAAAGTCATGCATCTTCTCTTGCACATGATTGCTATCCCTTCCCCCTGCTTGAACAAGCAGGACAATGGCAACTTAAATTAGGCTTCTAGAAAATGTCAAGCATGAAAAGCTTTTCACAAGCAGTTTGTGTGGCAGTGTTTACTTTGTATACATCTCCCGAGAGTAAAATTACATACTATAAAAACTGCAGTCATGTTCCATGTTAATATTAAGAACAATACTTGAAATTTATTTCTATAAATAAAATGCATATTTACTGATACTGGGGTGCTACAAAACTTGTTTCCATACACTTAGACCAAAATTCTGAAGTGTTCATTTAAACAGGATTTCTTCACATTCTTCTGGAAACCATAAAACTGATAATAAATTTGTCACTGAAATAGAATACATAATATATCAGTTTTGCATTAACCAAGAGATGCAAAATTTGTATAGCTATAAAGCTATCGATGTAGGCAACATTTTGACAATATGCATGATGCACTTCATCAGTGCATGTACAGTAAAACTGACACTTCCAAATATATTGTATTTACTGCACTCAGGGATCGCTGTCCTTCATATTTGCAACATACATTCACACTGTCTCCCCACGGGCTGCCAGCAGGTTAGTTAATCCAGTCAGTACCCTACTTCCAGTCTAAACCTGAGTGACCCTCAAAGAGAGGGCAGTCAAGTCAAGCTGCAGGTTAGATGCACTGTCCTTGTGGGCAACTGCAGCTTTTCATAAACTTGGAACACCATCAGGACTGCTGCCCTGGGTCCCAGAACTGCTACCGACCCCTTAAAACACCACATGATTATTATTGTGACATTACATACATACATCTTCTCCTTCTATATGAATAGTTAAATTATCTACAGCTCTGCTGAAGTTTGCAATGTAATTACTCTGCAGCAGTTGGCAGAACAAATATGCACATATTGCTTTGGTTTCTTCACTCTGAAACGCTCTGGGCTAAGTGTGAAGGAGTGAAGAATACTCCTCCCATCTTGCAAACAGCTTGCATTCTAGACAGTTTTTTCTCCAGTTCCTGAAGCCTGGTCTCCTGCTTCTGGTCTCCTATTCTCTCTCAAGTGTAGCATTTAATTAAAGGCACCACTTGTCCCCTAGAAGGTCCTCCCCATGTTCTACTTTTAAAAATCAAACACCCCCCAAAAAAAGACAAACCCCAAATATCTCATTAGAGAAAACGTTCCTCTCAGTAGTTCCAAACCACTGGTTAATGGCACTTAAGCCCTGCCAAACACCAGAGTTTGGCACACTGTCCGTTCTTAGATCTGAGCCCATCAATACACTTTGGCATTGTGAGACAGAAAACACATTTCAAACACATTCCACTGGTCCAAATCACAACATTTTTTTGCCACAAGCTTGCAGTCACATGAAAAGTTCACAAATTCAAACGTACTCTGTATGCTATACCAATTCTTTAGCTTACTATACAAATGCTCTTCACTAGCTGATCTGACACTCCAGTTCACTCTTAAGTGTAAGAAAAAGTCAAGTAGAAACAACCCTAGATATTTCATTTTTTAGACCTTTTCAGAACTTTCTAACAGCCAGCTATGTACTATGCATCCAAATCAATCAATGCATCAATTGCCTAATCCTTTGGCTAGGCAAGGTTTCAAATGTATTGTTTCGACTAAAAAGCTTGTGAAGATGTACACTTTTCTTATAGAGTTGCTATAGCAACTTTTTTCATATTACCATGGTTTGAGAAGTTTACATCCCTTGCAATTTAAAGAAGTGATGTCTTGAGATAGCTAGCATACCAACTGCGTACATTATGAACGTTCTCTGTTCACTAAATTAAATTTACAAAGGCCAGCAAAAAACAAAGAACCCTAAACAACGATCCTTGAACACAGGCAACAAACTATTCTACTTCATGAAGTCAACTGCGATAGTCAAAGTGTAAAAATATGACATTAACACAGAGCATTAGATATAATTACTGTTGCATATACTTGGCTCTCCTGCTCTCAGGCCTTCTTGCTTGGATTCATGTATTTTTCTAACTTAAGCCTGTTTTCTCTTCCCCATGCTCACCCACCTCTTCATACACAAACCAACAGCCCACCCAGCCCCAATGGGACAATCGAACACAGCAATGGAACTATGGAACACACACTATGGAACTGTTTAAGCAAGGGTGCAGGTGTTTGCTTTATCACAATTCATAGTTATTAATGCACCCAGAAAATGCAGTCCAGAAAACAAAGTACAGAAATGTAATCAGCCAGGAACAACTTTGATGATGTGTGGGTAAAAAAACCACAAGCATGTTCCCATAATGAATTCCTCCAATGACTGCCTTCACTTCTGCTCAACGATTTTCCCAAGTAACAGCCAGTCCTTAGTTTAATTGCACGGCTCTTCTTCACTAAGCTTACAAATAGTAAGTGTTCAAGTCACCTTGGAAGAGCCAGTAAAAACAGCAGCTCAAGAGGCCAAACAATTCTGTAAACAAGAGAGTTCAAAAAGAAGTGAAAATTAAAATACCTTATTTTTGTATTTCAGAAGGGTACTGATGCTATTTTAACTTTGTTTGGTATTTTTTTAAGCAAGAAATTCAACAGCAAGAGACCCTTTAAATTGGCAACCAGCAAATGCAGAAATATATAACAGCTATAGCTTGCTGGAGCAAATTATGCAATAACAAGCTACAAACATTTTACACAGTTCAGTGAAACTGTGGGAAGCTTTGAAGTATACCCATTGAGGGCTTTAAATGGAAACTTGAGATGTAATCAGCCGTCCAAAACATACATGAGAACACCTTGATTCAGTTTGCATTAGGTGGCTGTAGGATTGTTTTTAAGGATGTAGTGAAGTGATATTTATACTCCTCATTTTAGCTGCCTCACTGGTAAGTGCAAAATCTGACAACCGATGTCAAACATTCTAAGTGTCATATGCTCCAATACTAACTTCTTTCCATAAATAATTTAGTAACATAATGTTATTATAACTTTATCATCATAATAAACATAGCATTATTAAAGTATTAGTAGTATAATAAACTATTGAGAAAGAATAAGCAATTTTGTCTGCACAACATTCATAATCCTCATGGTTTACTTAAATATATTATCATCTAAATAAAATTGATATTTGTAAAGTCTTAACATCCTATGTCTTACAGGAACTACGATCTCTGAATATTCCAGAAGAGAGAGAACAAAGAAAAGGGTACTAGGAAAATACAGCAGAGGTCACAAGTGGCAATGAGAGGGTAGGTACGTATTATTTACTCATTAACTCTTCCAACATAAGCACTAAGGCACACCAGATAGTTTTGTAGCCAGGTTCAAAATTAACATGAGGACATAACTATACATGCAAACGGTAGTTAAGGTGCATAACTCCTTGCCACAGTACACTGTGGATGCTAGAAGTTTACATGTAAGCTCAGGGAAGAAAACAAAACAAAAAAAAAAATCACTGAGGATTCCTAAACGAAACTCAGGAAGTCCCTGAACTACAAGTGTCAGAACTTCGTGGAAATATCAATATACATGAATCCTGCTTTTAGGCCCTTTCCCAGGTGAATTCTTCTGACAGGTGGAGTTTTGGTCTGTCCCGGTCTGGCTGTCCATATGGCCTTACATTCCCCAGATTCTGATCATGGCATGCAAGAAGGCATGTTCTGACAATAACCAGAGCCTTTAAAACAGATTTTGACTTTGCATATCACTCAACCACACAGAGGGAACAAGTCATATTTGATTATAATTTCCAAGATCTAGAGTAAAATGGCTTTTTAACCCATTTCAATGTATAAATTTAAGACAGTTAACAGCAATGCCAGACCATCAGAGAAAAAACAAAGATCAGAAAGATGCCAACTGAAGCCACATTCTTCCAAGTTTGCTGTGATTTCCAATGCAATTTAGAGAACAAACTTGTTTAGAAGAAAGGGTAAGGCAAGTATCTACAAAACAGGAATCATATCTTCTCACCTCACAGGAACGAGAAGAGGAATGGTTTACATAAACTCCTTGAGAACTGAGCAGTAAACACCTCAATTTTTATCACACATCTCTCTTCACTTATCTCTGTCAGCAATTTATTTTTTTTTAAGTTTTGAAAAGCAAGGAATTTTCTCAACTACAAAGTTGCAACTGGTTTTTTCCTCTTCAGGGAAAAATATTTTTTTAAAAAATTAAGGGTTTATACTCTCCATAATTTTGACAATATTTTTGTGGCATGTACCAAGAAACACATTGCTGCTATCAAGTACAACTGCAGGTGACCTCGGTGCACATGAGCATCAAACCTAGCTTTGTTTATGAAACATTTCTTGGTTCAGATTGTTTATGTTCACGTTCTAGCAGCCACTGCATTGCTGACAGTGAAGAATTCCTCAGGCTACAAAAGTCTAGCTTTCAACAAAGTGTGAGATATAGCAAGTAAGGATACATATGTAAGCACTGCCAAAACTTTAATGGCAAAAAGAAAAGAAACAAGTTGGGTGGTTATTTTTTTATTAAGAATTCTTTTATCTAACTCCCAGCTGGCACCCTTCATGAAGTACATGCTTTACAAATCTGAGCAGAACACTTCGATAGTGATCATAGGTAAACCATTCACCGCTTTTCCATTTTTTAGCTACGTCAGGCAGGCAATACAAATAAGTCACAGTATTCTTTTAAAGCCTCTGCTCCAGAAGCAGTTTACAGGGCTTTTTTCCTCCCTACACCAATATCACTGAAAAATCTGAGGCCACATTAAATTAGCAGCAGCATCATGAGAACTTCAGCTAACGTTAGTTGTAGTTTTGTTTGGTCTTTGGGAATTGCCTAGGAGACTTCACTAGAAAGAGAGGCACCGATAGAGATGAAAGTTGCTTCTTTTTCACGGGCTTTGAGGCTGACGCG